TTGTGTTGTGGGGAAATTATGGTGATTTAAACTATCTTTCTAAAGCCAGGAGACCCTGACTTCACTCTAATAAAAATTTAGAGCAACTGTATCCGTATCCTCTCTCTACTTTGCATAGACAAAATTAAGAGCAGAAAAGGACTCAGAATTCCAAAAAGGCTCATCATAGAGCTATTCCTCAGAGAAGAAATGAATAAAGCCAGATATTACATTAAATTTGCAAAAACAGTTGAAATAGTCATAGTTGCCATAAGATTTCACAGCCAAGTGTACTTTCGTAGTTTTACATTTAAAAACAAAACACATTCTGGGAATCAGCAATTCCTTCCCAATCGGGGAGGGAAAAAACATGGAAATAAACTCTCAGCTTTTAATTACTCACAGGAGAAAATGGTAGCTTTACTGTTCTCTGGCCTCTTCCTAATTCTGTGCCTTTTTGTAGTCTTCCTGCTCAGCGAATCAGCCAGAGCGACTATGCTGCATAAATGCAGATGTGCAAAGAGGCAGAATTAAATTCACCTAAACCGTCTATGTACAGTCCAAGTCTTCAAGTCTTGTTTCTTCTTCATTTAAAATAGATTTGGAAATCTATTTGGGAGAAATGTACATAATGTATATGTTTAGATATTAGGGGGGAAAAAAAATAAATAAACACATCCTGCAGCACTTAGGTGCTAATTGCAGGCTTTTACAGCACAGAACACAAGACCATGGCTTTACCTACATGAGTAGCTTCATTAGTTTGGTGTACGAGACAGCTACTTTCCCATGATAACGACATAGTGCTGGAGGAAGAATATAGTGGATTTGCACTTCAACTTCTTCCATAAGAGGAAGCTGGAGGAAGTCATGCTTCATGGGAAGAAAAGGGACCAAGCATCTCAGAGCTGTTCCTCTTCCTAGCACGTTCCTAGGTTGGACTAGATGATCTCTAGAGGTCCCTTCCAACCCTAAGCATTCTATGATTCTATGATTCCCCAAAGCTGCTAGCAGCTCTTTATAGCACTGCTTTTGTGGCAGAATGAGCCCACCTTTTAGCTCTCTCAAAGAAGGGCATTGGAAAAGGGAAACATTTTTTTTCTTCCCCATAAAAAATACTTCTTAATACCATGAAAGGCTAAATTATGATTCAGAGGACAAAGAAAAAAAAAAAAAACCTTTCTTAACAGCAAAGGCTGATACAGATAATCTAAAGGGACATCAGTGCTTCCCAAACAAACAGGAAATGAGTTTGACAGTATCTTGCCTTGGAAAAATACCACAAACCCAGGATAGGCACCACCCTGCAACATATATTTAGAAAAAAAATATAGGCTGTCGGGTTTTTTGACTTTTTAAATGGGATGAATCTTGAATAGATGCATCTCAGATGGGTATTCTTTATTACCAACATTGCTTTTTTTTAAAAAAAAAAAAAAATATCTAGGGAGCATTAAAATACTGGTATGCCAAGATTGGTTAATATGGGCTGGAACAGAGCAATAAGGCAAATGGAAGCAGTAATGTATTTCCTTGTTTGTCATTAAGTTGTTTGCTTGCATCCGCACTGTGAAGCAAACCTAAAATTGCTTGACTGTTCCAGGGTGCAGAAACAGCAAGTGTTAGTCTTTTAGCAATCCCCCGAGGCTACTGCTCCATCTGTCAATGACTATAATGTATTGTGTGTATAGTGCATTGTCTCTTTAGGTGCTTTTAAAACAAACTGTTTCCTAACATGCAGTTAATTTAAGTAGTAGTATTCTCACTTTGCAGGCAGGGTAAACTGAAGTGCCTGCACAGTTTCAATACAGAGTCAAGCACAGAGTTCAGATCCTGAAAAAGTTCTGCTTGAGAACTCCATGCACATCTTATCTCTACCTGGAGTTATCATGCAGTATAGGCCCATATTGAGCAAGCAGTACTGCTAGGCTGGAAACATAACTGTCCCAAAGTAGACAGTATTCTCTCTACCAGAAGATTTGGGCACAGCTATCTCGAAATGTAAGCCTAGAAATTTTCCATTAACCAAACAAAAAACACATTTTTCAAACTGGTCTTCTCTCTTTGAGCACCTCTAATGGAGTGCCTCCAGGACAGACAACCTTGCAGTGAATTGCCTGGCATGTGGCAGTAATGCAAAGCACATTAGGAGGGAATTGTAGAATTCGTTTGTGATTAGGACAATCAGCTAATCCAACGTCCTATTCAAAGGAAGGCTAACTGCAAAGCAAATACCAGAAGAAGAACAAAAGGTAAACGTATTTTTTAGCATCGTGCAAAAGTTGCTGATAAGTTACGATTACAAAATCCACAGACAAGAAAATGCTAAGAGACTACATTGACAAGAAGTCATCAATAACTAGAGCATTTGGACTTTTAAGTGTTTTTGGAAACTAGATTCAGTACTGCTGTAGGCATTAAGTAATAACTTCACTGAGTTCCAAAAATAAAATTTAAAATAGATGAAGGAAACAGGGTATGACTTTAAATAATGGATATTTCTACACACAGTATTATTTCTTTTACTGAGGCATTAGAGAATTACATGTCATCTACACCACATGACACAGAGTTGGTAGCTTTGAACTGGCATGGTTTTAGGAGGCTACCTGATGTCACTTAAGAGTGGTAGTGTGTAATGCAGGCAAGGTAAGTGCCATTATATCAACAGGTAGGCAGCAATCGGCAGAACCAGGTTTACCAGAAAATAGAGCATTTGACTATTTCATATGTGCACAGCCACCACGGCAGTTATGCAGGTTCTTCTGCAAAGTGCTCAGATTGAATCCAGTGCCAAAAGCAGACCTTACTGTCCTGACCTGTGGGCTTGGAAACAAAGTTCCTGGGGCAGAGGCCTTCCTGCAGGGAGCAGCGCACAGGCCGGCAAGGCCCCGGAAGCAGCGCCGCACGCGCGAGCGCTGCCGCAACGCGGCCAAACCATCTCCCGAGCGCTCACGCGCCTCCGCGTACCTGTGCGCTCAAACACGGGGCGCCGGGGACATCTGCGCACTTCAGAGCGTGTGTGTGGAGGGGGCAGGGTGCTAAATGACTGGAGAGCATAGTTTTCTGATGCCTTGTAATAATCGCCTATCAGCTAGATGATAGCACTTAAAATCCCAGTGGAAAGTAAGAGAGATTTTTGCGTGTATAATTAACTGCAACATGTTCAGGACATTATGTAACTATAGCACTGTATTGCTAGGGGGTATTTTTAATACTTTATAGCTTGAAATTTCTGTAACTACCTCTTAATGTTAGCCAACGTTAAAAAAAAGAAGACAGTGGCTAATTCTGATGGTTGACACTGTTAGAGAAATGTTTTTCTTTAAATTGCAAAAATGGTGGAAAATATGTTTTTATGTGTTTTAGTGGTAATATAAAGATGCATTAAACCTTTTTAAAGGGCAAAAAGCTTTTTTTTTTCTTTTTTTTTTTTTCTTTTTTTTTGGTTCGGGTAGAGGATAGTGTTTGGTTCATAATGGGAGATCTGACCGGATCTTTCCATCTGCTGTGCTGGCTGTTACTGCAGATGGTCATATTTTGTACATATGGTATGTGCATATATAAACTGAAGTCAGTGTTATCTTGGGGTGAAAGTAGGCAGGCACCGTGAGCTGGGATGCCTAACAACAATCCTGGTGAAGGCAGTAAGCAATTCAGAGCATTTTACTTTTCTAAAAATAAGCTACCTGAAATTAAGGGAAGAAGCATCTACTGTTAGGTTGGAAAAAAAAAAAAAAAGGAAGGAAAAAAAGTTATTCACTCATCTCTGGGTGGATCTGCATTTAACTTGGGATCAAGCTTTGGCTTCAGCTCACAGCCCTGAATATGTGCCAGATTTGGGTTTAAATCAAGACAACAGCAAACTCTCACCAATTTCTCACAAGATTTTTGCAACACCGAAAAGACAGTCCACCCAGTTTCATTTCTGTAAGCACGAACATAACCTTTTAGTTATGTAAAAAAGAAAATTCTTCAGAAGTGAAAAGGTTTAGAGATCTTAGGTTTAGATAGTTAACTCTGGTGCCATCTCTGCAGCTTCATTGCCTGGTTAGTATGGCTGAAAATTTGTACTTGCATGTTGGGTCATGAAAAAAAAAAAAGGGGAAGAAGAAAATGCCATAAACTCAAACTCCTAGTTAAAAAAAAAAAAAAGGTTGTTTACCTACTAATTTTACTTTTCCTTTTCCAGTAGTTTCTGTTTTCCTTCTTTTTCCAATAAATGAAAAAAAATAAAGCTAGCTTGTGCGATACTGTGTCTGTTACATTAGAACTCTAAGCAAAACAGGCAAGTTGCGCAAAGGGAGATTATCACCAAGTTTACAAACACCAATCTTACTGAAAAAGAAGAGCAATCTGACAGCACTTGAAATCTTTTGATCTCAAAATGAGAATTTAAGCTTTGCTGTCAGGAAAACACATAAGCATTGTCAGGAAAACTCATAAGCATCTGTTCACCCTGTTTCATTCCAGTCCTATTCAGCTTCAAGTACTTCAGGCACAATCCTGCCTTAGGTGTCAGCTCGAGAGCCTTGCTGAATCAGGCCTTTTACTCAGAGGCTAAGAAAAATGCTACAATGATTCTGTGGTACAGACACCATTCCAGAAGCAACTAAAATTGTCACATACACCAACCCATGCACTTACAAAGCATACAATAGCAAGCCTCTGAAAAGAGGCATTCATTGGAATAGCAAGACATAAAGAATTTATCCAATATATGATGAAATGCATTTTTAATATCTCCTCCATCTGTATTATAGTTTATTGACATCATTTGGCCATTCATCAGAATTTAATTGTAAGAGCAGACAGAGTCACAGCTCTTATTTCTGCACCTTTTTTTTCTCCTTATTTAATATCTATGCAGTTATTCTCTCTTTGCTAACCTTTCTACAGCTCCAGTATTAGAAAAGGTTTTCACAGTTTCAGCTGTAAGAATAGAAATTTTAATTGATTTTAACAGGATTGCCACTGCTATGGTATGACTGGGTAAGCTACCGTTTCTTTTCTTATTGCAGGTTTGTTTCGTGAATTTAGATGCAAACAGAGATGACTGCGGTGACGAGCAAGTGAAACAGGTAACGGCTTATTTCTTGATAACATGGACAGTTGGTATGTTCAAGTACACCTAGATTTTCTCATATAAAGCTAGCTCTAAATTTTACGGACTACAATGCTGGATGAATCAAAACCAGCTATAGATTTTAACCTTTACAGAGAACAATGAATTCAGAATTCGAGTTTATCTAAACAATAATTTATAATTTATAGCTTTTTTTATTCCTAGCCCATACACACTTACCAGAATATTGCAGGCTGAATTCACAGTGTTTATCTTGAGAGTAGGCTTCTTGCTTAGCCTCAGTTTCATTAGAGATGTGAACAAAGATGTATCATATATTCCAACTATCTAATTTAACAGAGTACTACATTAAAAAAAAAAAATCTCTGAGGTCTTTCCTTCCTACTGCCTAAAAGTCCTCAAGTCTGTGCTACTCATTTAGCTCCCACTTCCTACTCAGCTGGCTGGTCTTAATGAATCAAGCTCCAGGTAGTTTGATTGTGTGGTCAGGGGAAGAGACTAGAGAAACCAGAGCTAAAGATGTGATTCACTTGTTTAACTGAAAGTTTGAAGGGATAGAAAAAGGGATTTCTCTTTTTAATCTACAAACTGTAAAATAAATTACACCATACATATGCTATTTAAAATATATACCTTTCAAAACAATCCTTGAATCTGAGCAGGAAGCCCTATATTAATCATATGCCCAATGTGAATTTTGAACTTACACTTTCCTTTATTGCTTCCATTTCCATCATCCTGAGCTGGCGCCTACAGCTGGTGCAGAGCTGCCAGCAGCGGTTGATGGTGTGTGAGCAGAGGTGGGATCTCCTCACACCAGGCAGGGAGTTCCTCAGTCTAACACCAAGGTTAATTTGCTGGGACCATTTTTAATTCATGGGAACACAGCCAATGTTGGGGCCTATCTGCTTCCTGGAAGTCATTAATTAGCAGGGACTGCTTTTACATGCTGTTTTCTACATCCTGGATCTGTGAAAATTCAAATATCAAAAATAATTACAGCTTTTTGCAACAAATGATTTTTCTTTTGAATCAGAGGCTTGACTGTGCAGAACGGATTGAAAGGTTTAACTTCACTGAATCCTCAGATGCATAGGATTGTTTTCTAACAACAAAGAAATGGTTTTATTGCTTGCAGTGCTACACTGTTTTTTATTAAGGATCAAAAGCTATAGCAAGGCCTAAGGATTGAGGAAACATCAAAGGCTTCATATTCATAGGTTAACACTAAGTATCTGTGTAAAAGCCAAGTTAAACTAGCCTTATGCAGCTCCTCTTTATAATACCTGGAAATTAGATTAGTGCCTCCCAGGCACAAAGCACCTTTGAAACGGGCTGCAGGCCCCGCAGCAGGGACGCGCTCGCCTGGCTGGCCCGGCCAAACCCCAAGGCTTGGCCTCGTTTTAGAAACGTCATTTCTGGTGCAGAGTCAACACACTTGTTAAGCGTGACCAGAGGATGGTATTCTTCCTTTCGTTTTCAGTGTACAGAATAAAATATTCACAGCTGGTAAAGGAACTGTGTGTTCTTCCTTCCCTCTAAGAGGAAAGCTGTCCCATCACAATTTGTATCTATAATGTACAATATGGGGTGTGTTAATATCAGCTGCGAGCAAGATCAATTTTATACAACACACTAACATAGTAAAAGCATTTTGTAAAAGGAATTTAAGTATTTTAGTACAACCATTGCTCAGATGAAATATATATCATTTTAGTGATAAGTATAGTTATTCCCTGTTTGGCTTTCACATTACCATTGCATCTTGGAAGGGGTTAAATTGTTTTTTAAGTGTTGAAGAATTGTCTTTCTAGACTTCTTTTACATTCCAAACAAAAGGGAAGGGAGTGAAGTAAAAGATACACTGAATGTCATGATTTCCTACCTAAGGAATCTGATAAAATGTAGCAATTTAGGCAGTAGAAAATAGAGATAAGTAGAGAAGTGTGTATGATAACAGAAAGGTTATAATTTAAAAAAAGAAAAGGATGAGAAGATTTTTTGTGCTATACTAAAATGTCAAACTGAATTGAAGCACTGAATTTAGTTATGTCAAGTATAAATACTTAGCCTCAGCTGAAGATCAGTCTCCTTAAAAGTGAATTCTTCCCCAACATTGAATTAGATTTGCAAAGCAGGAAAGTTTTATTATATTGAATTTAATTCATTCTGAAGAAAAATAGCAGTCCTGCAAGCTTATCATTTTGAAGAGGAAAAGGAAAAAGTGAAGCATCATGATTGCTCAGTAGCTAAAGCCAAGTGTTGGGCGCAAGAGCTCTGCATTCCCTTACTGGCTTTGCCATTTGATGTGCTGCGTTCATGAGTATTCATGGATAAACGGAGGTGCTATTTAGTCCCTCTGTGAGGGAGTCATCCTTGATTCCCTCTTCTTAAAGCACATGAGATCCTTGGCAGAAAGGAATTGGGGGCGCTCCTAGAGTAGGTCTTGTCCTTTGGGCGTGCTGCTGAGCACAGGCACGGCCTGGCACAGCATCGCACTGCAAACACCCTGTGCTACTGAGCACCACTGCTGTTAGCATAGTCGTTGTTTTTGGCTGTAGCAAACATATAGCAGATAGCGAGTGGATGTATCACTGGAGGTGAAAGAACAGGAAAGCATCCAATGGAGCGTCTGAGAAATGGATTTCACCTGTGTTCATCTAATTTCCAGAAATAATGTATATTTTAATGCTGCCACATTTTGATAGATTCAAGGTACTAAGCTTAAGTAAACTTTTTGAAGTAATGCCTATAACTATTTTACTGTAATATTTATGCATACAGCTGTGCCACTCAGAGATCTTTACCTGACAGCAAAATCTATGTTCCATACTGCAGAGATTGATCAGCATCTCTCCAAATCTCCCCAAACTTATCAGCTCCATGAACGTACAGCCGCCAAAGGAAAACGAAATAGTCCTGCTGAGTGGGTTAACATCAGGAAATCTTCAGGCCGATTATGAAATTCCCCAGGTAGGAGCTATACACTTATCTTTAAGACCATGTGAAAGCTATGAGGGAAGGAACTTAGAAACTGAAAAAAGAGAAGCTGAAAGCAAAGACTGTATACCAGTTTAAGAACTGCAGGGTGTTTGCAAACACAAAAAAAAATTAGTCTGTCTATGAAAGGTCTAAATTAAGCAGGGGGAGGAGCAAAGCTAGCAGTGAGGTTCTCCTGTGGGCATCTGGGTGGCAGCTGATGCTGCTTTAAGCCGTTGGAGCGGCTGCTCCTCCAGGGAAGGCAGCATTGGTGGCACGGATGACTCATAAACCCAGATTTCAAGAATAGCAGGAGTCAGAAGGGCAGCACAGATGGGCTAGGAGGAAAGATGTAATACTTTTTACATACATAGGACTGGATCTGGGTGCAGCTCCTATAGAATCTTTTAAGTAAAGCCTTGCTACTTCCCACTTCCATTTCCAATCCATCTTCTCCTATACGAACCCCTCAGAAAAGAGCTGACAATGTGACTTGAAGATCCTGGAGGCTACCTTAAGTCTGAACATGCCAATGGAAAATATCAACATATATTAATCAGATCAGAGCTGATACCTCATTTAGCTTCTGTGCTACTTAATGTAATTCATACTTTAATTAAAATTTAACATTTAAAGGATTTAAAGACAGATTTCTCATGCAAACCCTTTCACTCTTGTTCCTGCCTATGAAATATTTCACACCTATGATTTGTAGGCCAGGAATTCGTGCTACTACTGGATCACATAAAGAAAGGAAATAAATGAAACCATTCGCTTAAAGGCACAAGTTGCATAAGCTTAACTACTTATAACCAAAACCTCTTTCATTTTTTCCTTGTTTTTATTCCTTTCTCTTCATGTCTGTGTAAAGAAGATAGAATGAATATTCCTAGTATTTTAAGTCTGATTCTGATCTTAATCCTGGTATGAATTAGCAACAACTTCATTAAAACTGCAGAGTTGCTCTGCAGTAAAAACCAGACATTCTTAGCAAGCTTAGAAACATGAAGATATTTCTCCAGTTCCTGCAGGAAACATCTTTCCGCTGAATTTAACTCGTGCATATAAATCTTTATGGAATAGACTCCGTAACAGCTGTATGGCAAAGATCATTGAATTTTATGCTATAGCAATGCACTCTTCTTTAAAGGGAGAAATTGCCTGGTTATTCCTTGTCATTCATGACTAATGGCTTAATTTAGAAAGATTTAAAAAAATAACCTGCAAACGTGCAGTGGGAGCAGTGAGATGCCAGGGAGATGCCTGGACGCCACTGTGGTACAAACCAGGCAGCTCTGAGGTCTGCACAACCCGCTAGTTGCCCACATCTCTGGTGGACTGCAGCTGTCACCGAGAGGGAGCAAATGTGACACAAATGAGAACTAACCCAAATTTCCCTCTTGCACTGGAGCTTCTGTAGAGGGCCTGAGTGAGGTTCATGGGCTCGTGCTGGGTTTGTCCCTGTGTGTTTTTTTGGCTGGTCAGAGGGTTTCATTTGTCAGGAGCATCCCTCGCTGCAGAGCTTTGGCTTTGCCTCAGAGTGTGTCCCCAAGGGTAGCCCACGCGGGGATACTGCCTTATCTCTGGGGTTGTATAAACACCCAATGGCTTTTATATCTGCAAAATGAGGGCAAGAACTCCTTTCTTTCAGTTTCTATCCAGCATTCAGCTTTATTGTACCACTTCCGTGGCCAAGATGTTTTTGATGTAAACCATACAGTGAAGTCTGCATTGCATTTGGGGTTCTGCTTGTCCAGAATGATGAGGCTTTGCACAAATACAGGAATTTTTAAATAATGTATTTTAAAATGGTCTCTAAGAACAATTCAAGGTGACCTGCTCTCAGCAGCCTCAACAACCACTATTTATAAGGCTGCTTTCAATCAAGCCTTGCTGCAGTAATTATCTCGAAGATGAATTCAGGCCCACAAACTATTCCCTCAATGCACAGGTAGCACTGGATGGTGTAAGGACTTTAACAAAAGTATGTCAGATATCTAAACATGGCACAGCTAAAGACAAATAAGGCTCTGTCACTTAAACAAGTTGATAAAAAACAACTTGATAACGTTAACAAAATAAAGATGCCCTTGTGATACAACAGAGTTCCCTACCAAAATGCTTGTATACCAGAAGATGTCATTCCAAATGGTACTGTTTCAGCATATCTTGTACACCGTGTTACAAACAGCTCAATGACAAATTGTATTGCATCTATGCAATAGAACATTCCTGAGATATTTATATAGAGAGAGACTTAAAATAAGTTTTATTTTTTAATTAAATAACTCTGAGATTCTTTTCCCCTCTAGTGTCCTTGGCTGGCAGATGTCTGCTTGGTTCAGTGTGCACGGGGGGACAGGAAAAACAGCACAAGCTGCATCATCTTTGAAATAAACAAGTTTCTGATTGGACTTGAGCTTGTTCAGGAGAGACAGCTGCAGATAGAAGCTAATGTCTTAAAGCCTGAGGATGATACAAACTGTTCAGTGTCCTCAATAGAAGAAGATTTCCTCACAGCATCTGAGCACCTCGAAGATGAAAACGAGGCTGATGAATATAAAGCTGGTAAAAACAACGAGACTGAGCGTAATTCTGCTATTGTTCATACTGCAAAACAGGCATGGCAGGGCTCACAAACTGCATTTGATTTTAATGCATGCAAATATTTAATTGTAATTTAAGAAATGTAAAATCATGTATTTTGAAATTGTTGCTCAGAGACAAGCATACATGGCTGTGCAGTAGTTTTACAGAGATATACAGTTATGCAGCCATTTTCTTTTCAAAGTTACAGGATGCTTTGCAAAGACTGCTGTCTTTTTTCTTTTAATAGGTCATGAAAAATCAAGTGTTTCTGAACTTTCTTCAGACCTCAAAAAAAATAAAGGAAAGGGACCTGAAAATCCTCACTACAGAAAAGCCAGGTTGTCCCCTATTCTTGATGAAAACTCTATTAATAAAGATAACACAGCTGCCAGAGCCTCCGAAGCTCTGACTGTTGTGGCTGAGGATAGCAACTTACAACTTGAACATAAGTCAGCCCAAGAAATACTCTGGCAGAAGGAATTAGCTGAAAGAGCTACATCGTCCCTCAGTACTAATAATTTGACTGACAAGGTTGGAAATTCCTGCTCAGCTCATGTGTTCGAAGATGTATCTGTAACTGAAATGGCTAAAGAGGAGCTGGGGCCTCCGCATGACCCAACAGCAAAACAGGACACTAAGATGGATGTGGAAAATTGTGCAGGTATTAAGAAAGCTGATCCTCCCCTGCAGAATGAGCAAGCAACAACGGGTCAGTATGCCACAAATTTAGCAGAATCTGTTCTGCAAGATGCATTTATTAGACTGTCCCAGTCTCAACCCACTTTTACTGATGAGGCTGCTGTTAGCATCTCTGTAGGAAGCTCTTGTAAAGCAGAAGATACGTCTGCTTCCCGATCATGGAATGAACTTCCAAAGATTGTCATAGTGCAAAGCCCAGATAGCTCTGAGGAGGTCTCCGAAAAAAGCGGAAGTTTCAGATTCCTGTGAGGAGGAACATGCAGACGGGCACACCCAGAGTGCCTTGGAAGTGGCTCTGGCTTGTGCAGCCACAGTTATTGGAACCATTTCAAGTCCCCAAGCTGCAGAGAAATTCAGAAGAGATCAAGAAGCCACAGACTCTAAAAGCAGAGCAGTTGATAATGAAGTGCTACAGACAGCATCTTCACAGCTACTTGATGACTGTGCTGGCACAGAATATTCATTTCCATCTGCTCTGTGTGGCATGACTCAAGTAGCAAGTGCTGTAGCAGTCTGTGGTCTGGGCGAAACAAAGGAAGATAAGTACCCTGCGGCTTCAAGTGGGCTCCTGTCTGCTGCTCAGACTTCTGCAGCCATTACTCTTCATTGTAGCATAGCCATAGGAAGCAGCATGGAGAAGCTGAACGATAGCATTGCAGAGACTCTTCTCAGAGAGGCATCAATAATTTTGACAAAGCCCAGCACCTACAAAAACGTAGGGCATTTTATGGAGTCCATGAATGGAAGAATCATTGAAACAGTGGCAAGGCCACGGATTCCACACTCTGATGAAGTAATCAGGGATGAACTTGCACAAAACTTATCCAACATTATTCTACGACATTCTGTTGAAGAGGTTAGGAAGAAGAGACAGCTACAGCCTCATTCAGAATACAGCTCAAGTACACAAGACATTTTCATGGAGACTGCAAATGAGTTGCTTTTTAACGTGATATATTTCACTTATAAGAAGATGAATGATATAAGACATGCTGATGAGTGTTCTCCTCTCTTTTCTGAGGGCACGAAAGCTGAGAAAGTAACTGTAGCAGAAGGTTGGCCAGCACAGGCAACGCCACATGAAACACTGCACAGACCCCCTGACCACTCTGCTAGTGTGCCATTGCACACCTCTTACAGTACTAGTGCTGGCAGTGATCTTGGAGATGTCACAAGCACTGGGAAAAGTAGTATGACAGATGTAAGTAGCTGGGAAGGTGTCCCACTGCATTCAGGACCAACAAGTAGAGCTACTGGGCATAGTGCACTTCTTGCAAAAACATCTCCCAAGAAGAGATACTTGAAAAGAACTGCACGAGACTGTTACAAATCACCAAATCAGAATACCAATCAAAAGAAGAAAGACTACAGATCATTTTCAGATGGAGGAGAAACCTTTACAGACCCTGAATGCAAACACGGTGTCCAAGAACGACTGTCTTTTGATGCCCCTGTAAATGCAGAGAACCAGGCCAAGCATAAGTGTGATGCTGTGCTAAGTAATGATGTCCAAGTCAGCTTGTCTTTATTAGGAGACCATGTCTTGCTTCCTTCTCGGCCTGTGCTACAGGTGAAACATTCCAGGGACAAATACTGTATCGCAGATTTTGCGGAAGAACTGGCAGAAACAGTGGTCTCTATGGCAACAGAAATAGCTGCCATTTGTCTTGAAAACTCCAATGGAAAGCAGCCCTGGTTCTGTGCTTGGAAAAGAGGCAATGAGTACCTGGTCACCCAGAGTTTATCATGCCGAACCATAAAGAGGAAAAAGGAAACCCAGACTAACAGTTCAGTGGTTCGGAAGCACAGGGCACCTAGACTTAGCGAGATCAAAAGGAAAACAGATGAGCATCCTGAGCTGAAAGAAAGACTGATGAATCGGGTAGTGGATGAATCTATAAACCTTGAGGACACACCAGATTCTGTCAGTATCTTTGCAAATGAAGTGGCCGCCAAGATTATGAACCTCACTGAACTCTCTGTGGTTGACAGCATCTGGCAAGGTCCAAACCATCCCAGGAACAGGCTGCACTGTGAAAGATGGAGCCGAGGCAAGGCATCGAGCTGCGAGAGCATCCCCGAGGAAGACGCAGATTCCAGAGGCTCCCTCCATACCCTCGGCCTGACGAACGCTTTTGGTCAGCCTGTGAGCCAGACGAGTTCAGTCTCTAAACAGTCGAGCTGTGAAAGCATTACGGATGAATTTTCAAGATTTATGGTGAACCAGATGGAAAATGAAGGAAGAGGCTTTGATTTGTTACTGGATTACTATGCAGGAAAGAACGCAAACAACATCTTATCATCTGCTTTGCAACAGGTAGCCAAGAAGAATGGTCATCTTAACGTAAAACCAAGCTGCCCATCCAAACAGTCCAGCACAGAAAGCATAACAGAAGAATTTTATAGGTATATGCTAAGAGAAATAGAAAAGGAAAACAAAGATAACGCATCTTCCCCCCGGAATTCAAAGGACTGGTGTGGCAGTTTGCTGCCTCCCTCTCTACGAACACCTTTCTGTTATAGACAGTCCTCCATGCCTGACAGCAGGTCATCGGGCTCCAGGCTAACGGTGAATACCCCCGTTAAAGCAAATTCTCTAGATGGATTTGCCCGTCATCACCAGGATTCCTTAAGTGTACAGCCAGTCAGTAGTGCGGGTTCTTCGAGTCTCTGCAAGTCTGACTCATGCCTGTACCAAAGATGCAAGACTGACCAGATAACAGACATGCTGATTCATGAGACATGGGCCAACTCTATTGAATCACTAATGCGCAAAAACAAAATTATAGCAGATGAGGCAGAGACTGCAGAGGCAGATCAGCCTCACAGTGATTCTCCGCAGCACGTGGAACAGTATGCAAACAGACTGGCTGCAAATATTGTTGAAAGTGGTAAAAATTTCATTGTTGTCCAGCCAGATTCCCTTGATTATACAAGCCGAGAACACATGCCGGAAAGCAAGCATCAGATGCAGTCAAAACCCAAAGGAGAGGGAGTAGGTTCAGATGAGAAGAAAGGGCTTGAGAATGCTGGATCCCTCCCTGCTGGTCAGCGCAGGGAAGTGCCCTTAATTCAGATAGAAACTGATCAACGAGATGAGCCAGAAGAGTCCCTAACTGCAGGTGAACCTTCTGAAAAGGAGCATCTAAGCAAAGAAAAGCCTCCAGAAGAATATGCTGTGAAGCAGATGGTTTCCAGTTCCCTACTAAATAGGTAAGTGACCAAAAAAACAAAACCAAAATCAGCACATTGCCTTAGTGTTTGCTCGTTTTAACTTCCCAGTAAATAACGACGATGCAGGAAGATAAGGAGTTAACCACTTCTTGAGAAATAGTCAAGGTAAGTTTAACTGTGGGTTCCTTACAGCAAAAAATCACCAAGTCTTGTATCGCAGTACTGATTTCTGGAGCAGACTTGCACTGAACGTGCCAGTATTATGGTTCCGAGATCCCAGTCTAATACTGCACGGATGAGTAAATTTTATCTTAAAGGTGTTTGTTCTCCATAGTCAAGATAGGAGAGACTGACAAAGTGTGAACTTTCTAGCCTCACTTATCCTGCTTTCCAGACTCTCATAGGTGGCACCATCTACATCCACTGCTTTTCGCATTACTAGAAGGTATCTCCAAATCCAACTGAGGAAGCAGAGCACTGAAAATAAATCTCACTAACTTGCTTGCAGCCAAGTTGCCTTGTAAAAATTAGTGCTGGTTCTGCCAGCCGTCATCTGTAGGCGTGGATGGATGCAACTAGCTACTATCTTCTCAATTTAAAAAAAAAAAAACAGTTTTATTGTAAAAAGAAAACTAGCCTGTTGTTCCTTCTTCTTTCCTGCCATTTGACCTTTAGTTCTCTACTCTGCTTGTTCATGTATTTATACCAGCAAAGCAGACGAGGCTTCCTACAGCTTGAAGTTCCACTTTTTTGTGTTTACTGTGTGGAACAACAAATATATTTTTTTTCTACTAAAGAATTTTTATTAAAAATACCCCTCACCTCCTTTAGTTCAAGACTGCTCTAGTAGAATTTAGATAAAGAAAAGAATAAAGTTTAATTTCATGGAGCTTATACCATAGCCTACCACCCTTTCCTCATAGCTGCTTCCTTTGTTGGAGAAGCTGCAGCTTATTTTGATTAAGGAAAATGAAAACCCTGCCATATTACAGTGGATTGCAAATGTACAGGATTGCTATGGATGTTAAGAGCAGTAATCTCCTTCAAGGCATTGCCTATTTTTAACTGTGCTTCTTAATCGTATCTGTTACTCTGATGGTATCTAAACTGCCAATCCCGGGGAGCGTCGCAGCGCCCCGCTACCTCGAGCGCTAGCGAGATTGCAGGTGCTAGCGTTGGAAACGCTTTTGCAGCCCATTTCACCGTGTACAGTGCTGTGTTTTGGCTCCTGCCAGTGCTCTGCTTGAGGCGCCAGAGCGTGTACTTCCCTGCGTAGGTGGCAATTAGGTGGATAATTAGCACAGTGTCTCTGTTATTTCATGCTGACTATCCCCCACTAACCTTCCTCTTCCTTCACAGGCAACCTGCTTTTAATAAGATACATTTAGAAATCTGCCTGTTCACAATCCTGACTGTTTGAAAATAAAGTTATTTTCTGCACAGCTTACGACCCTTTCAATAACAGCTTTTCCTCTGCCTTTGATGCAGAGTTCCTGAAATGGCTTTTGCAATTTTGAAGTAAAAGCATAGGTAGATCAGAGGTGGCAGCCAGAGGCGAGACCTATATTAGCGTTTTGGTTTGGTGTCGCAGAGCGGCTCCGAGTCAACGTGTCCCCGTTTCCACGCCGTGCCCCTGGCTGCAGAGTGCCAGGCAGCTCCTCCGGGGGAACCCACCCCAGCCCCGCGCTGGGCCGGGCGCTCTCGCTGCTGCGGGACGGCCACGTTGCACTGTTTTCTCCTGCCAGCTTGAACCACAGTGGTATGGGCCGAGCCTCAGATACAGTAAATCCCCAAAACAAGCACAACATGGCTATAAGCACCAGCACCAATTGCTTTGGTCCACTGACCCATTTGTGAAATTATTTGTAGTGTAGGCAGCAGCAGACAGGAGTGCAGGGCACACGCTCGTCATCCAACGGGAGCTGCACAGGCCTGGGCAGAGGGGCTGCAGGGGGGAACGAGGCGTCTCGTGCCGCAGAGCCCAGCCAGGCACCTGCACACACAACTCTGAAAGCACCAAATGCTGCATCACGTGCTGAGGATTATGGCTGGCCTTAGAAGAGCCAGGCAGGGGTAATGGGTGTTTTACGTTCTATCCTTTATAGCCCCTCTTATTTAGAAAATGGAGGAATTGTTCGTGTACATGCAAGTATTAGATGTATTATAACACACTTAGTTAATGATCATATTAAGAACATACCTAATTCTAATGAGTGGTCAAATAGAAATAAAAGGTCCTCAGAGGTGAGGGGGAGCCTTGGCAGAGAAGCTACACAGCAGCAGGACAGGAATCAAGTGTCAGGGATAGTTCCCAGGTGGCACTAGGGGACACCAGCCATTGCAACCCCCAAGCAACTAAATGTCTTTAAGGATCAGGCCCAACAAGCAGTGCTTTTTGTACATACAAAATCGCCTTGCATAAGTTAAACCTTTCCTGTGCATATTTCAGTAGAAGCCTAATTTTGTTTTGGATTTATAACAACCATAAGATGACTCTTTTTAAGGGAAATCCCAGACCATAAATTCAGCTGGACTTTGTGTAGGAATTATAAGCTTATCCAGTCTCACAACTGTAACTTCCTTGACCTTAATGAGCAGCATTTCCTGAATTGGTGACAGTAGTTATTTGTCTATATGTTTTATTTATTCTTTCAATGTGCCTTCCTTATCCCCCCACCAGCAACAGTCCTCAGAGCAGACCAGAGGCTGAACCCATAGCAGAGACAAAAGCAGCAGCAGAATTCCCAAACCAGCTGAGCAGCAGTGAGGAGAGCACGGGCAGCTGGTCCCAACTAGCTAACGACGAGGACAACCCTGATGACACCAGCAGCTACCTGCAGCTCAGCGAGAGGTCCCTGAGGTACCCGCGTTCTCTCCGCGGTCAATACGTGATACTGTCTGATCAGTCAGTCTGTAATTCGCTTTATTTGTTACCACTTGCCTAACGCTTACTATGGCATTCCCTTGAATGAGACTCAAGCCAGCCTGTGTGGTTAAAGATGTCATCTAGTCCTTGGAGCTTATATAAAGTGATGTTAGTTTGACCTCAACCCTTTCTCAACTTCACATTGAGCAAGACTTTTTCTTCATAGGCCCTTAGATTATTTTTTTTTAATGCAGCCAATTAATTATGTCACTCTCTCGGGTATTCTGAAGACAAGGAGGGAAGAAGTGAGCTAATGAAGCAGAGAAAGGAAGGAGGCTCCGCATGTCAGAGACACCTCTGGCTAGTTTTAAAAATAGTGAAATAAACTTGTCTGCCCCTGTGGATAAATGGTCATCCCATTACACGGAGCATCAGCCTTTAACTAACTCAGTCTGGGAGGCTCAGGCGTTTGCCTTTTGGCTGTGCACTGAAACAGAAGTTGATACAGCAAGTCTGGATGCATCGGGTGCTGACACTGCCTCACAAAAAGCCCTGATGAAGAAACTCTCTAGTCAATGCCCCTGATGTCAGGGGAAAATACTATTAATTGCTTTTTTTAGCAAAAAATAAATGGTTCAAATTTAATTACCACACAGAATTTGTTGGTGCTAATCGACCTGTAGCTAGTAAATTCCCAACCTGTTTATCAGACTATTGTGAAATCCACATACACAGTCTAGGTTACAGTGAGCTAGTACTACTCTTCCCAGGTATTATCAGATGCAACACTTCATTTTTATGAAGTATCCGAAAAGAATACTTCTGCAGAGTACTAGTCCCTATGAGTCACCACACACACACACACAAAAAAAAAAAAAAAAAAGGAATCTCAGTGTTTCAGAGTAGCAGAAATGTTAGGGACCACCCCGTACCCATGGGTAACATCTCGGACAGTATTTGGGGTATGATGCCATACGCTGAAACTGCTCCTGGTTACGGGCACAGAGTAACCCAACAGGTAGGTATGTGATGGGCAGTCCAATGCCTTGCTGTAATTTACCACGTTCAGCGGTATCTGAATCTCTGCAGGTTTTTCCAGGACATCTCTATGCTTGACAATTTTTCTTTCCAAGGACTCATGCAGATTATTTCTCTGCTGGAAGCCATATGTTCACCAAATAAACTGTTCACTAGAAGATAGTCCAAGGTTTATTTTCAGTTCACAGCATCACTTGATACACGATCCATCTACAGCTATTTTAAGAAAAGCCTAATTATTTTTCAGATTAGTTAGTTGCCACTTGTTGAGCACAGTTGCTTCTGTGGAACTGCAGTCTGGGGGCACCCCTGTCATCTTGCTTTGTAAGGAGATGAGAACATATGTACAGAGACATGTTGGGTGCAGCTTGGCACTAATATTTAAACTTTTGCTTTGTCAGCAATGGCAACAGCAGTACAACTAGCAGTCTTGGCATTATGGACCTGGAAATTTATCAGGAGAACATGCCACCTTCTCCTATGATTAAGTAAGTAGTTGTTGAAGTAAGATTTGATGTTTAATCTATTTTTAACTGCCAACCATTTATGCCATCAAAAATGTGCCAAGCCCTGCTAAGCACCTGCTGCTTAGCTTGCCATCACTTTCAGAAAAATAAATGCACATGCAGGTGTGTCTGTGCAGAACGACAGCACTGCAGAGTGCAGGACTGTGGGGAGGCCCACTCGGGTGGACCTCTCAAGAGAACATGGATCCAGCAACTGCTTTGCCTACAACACAGTTTACTGAGCTATCCATTTCCCACTTTGTGAGTTTTTGGTTTTTCTCTAAACTATTTCAAATGTCACCAAAACAGTACTAATACCAAGAAAGAGCAAGCAAAGAAAGATCAATTAGTTTAAGCTAAAAGGCGAAGAGAAATGATAATATTTTTTTCAAGATGGAGAATTTGGCCCAAGGTATTCCTTTTCTGCCATTTCTGGGCATGCTTCTACCCAGCCTCCTCATTAGCAATAAAACTATCAAGAGATGTGCAAGTACCTGCCTAAAGATTCTGGTACCCTGCAACATGGTATAACCTGCCAGCCACTAAACGGTAAAACACCCGGTGCAGTCAGGGCACGTATGTGCTGAATCTCATGTGGAGGAGATGAGAGCCTTGCGAAGCCAGTGGCAGCAGCAAACCTTCACACCAGACTACACTGTAGCAGCAAACCACGCTGCTTTCCAAAACCCTTCTTTGTACAAGGTAGCCATCTGTATTTCTCTAGAGGTACCTGCATTCTTCCACCTACTGCTTAGGGCCCTAACCTTGCTGACACATCCCGTCATGCACAGTAGGTAGTGCTGGCTCCTACACGCGTTCCTGAAGGTGACCACTGCTCCTCGTGTTTCCAAAGATGAAGGGGCTGAGGTTTTGATTTCTAGTGCCCGACCAGCGGGTACTCTGTGGTGACAGCCAAGGGGCTGGAGATGCAGGAAGGACAGATGTTGTAGAAGGCCAGACCACCTCTCAGGGCAGCTTGTGCTTTCATGAATCAAAGTCAAGGTACAGAACACTTAGGTAGTGCAAACAAAAATCTGGTGCATAGGATGGATGGTATTAAGCACCTAAGTCATGCCACATCACACATGGCACGCTGCTGTTCTCTCCTTTCCTCTCACATCTGGCAGCAGCCACTACGGAAGTTTTTATAGTCTTGGTCCTTCCAAACCTTGGGAGAGATTCTGAAATCCTGTGGAAGAGAGTGGTAAGAACAGCATCCTACCACGCTAGAAATATAATGCGGTGCTTGTACTGGTCCTCTTGACTGGGGACAGAATGGGACAGTCTGCACATGTGTATTTGCAGGAGCGATGAAACAAGCGTCATCATTTGTGTCCTCACCACCCATTTGCAGTCTCCTGCTACATGTGCAAGAGTGGGGTTATAGTCTTCAGAAAGGGAAGATAAAGCAGTGATTTCATATCTGGAGTTTGTTTGGAGTTCAGCAAGAGGAATGGTAGTACATACGAAATGAAGATCTGCTGAAATTTTTGCAAGGTGTGCACAGAATTCATTTTTCCAAACAGCTAGTATATTTAAAAACAGCAGTAGCTGAAGTCACTGCTATTTATGATTGTGTTCAACTGTGAGAGAGAAAATTAGAAAGCAAGACTGAAAAAGATGAAGCCAGGGACCATAACACTGTAAAATGCACACCTTGAAAAGTCAATACTTCCCCCTTCCTTATCATAAGACACAGCAAGACACAGTGTTGTTTGCTTTTTCATTATATAAGCTGTATAGATACACAGATCTTAATAAAGTGTAAAGCACAGTGCATACAGTACAAGCAGTTCATCCTTTTGTGAGAGTAGCACTGTGCAATTCCCAAGGCTTTTCCTGATTTACAGATGAAATTATTGTAGTATATTCAGCATTTTACTGTTTCATCCTATGTAATGTTTTTCTTGCAGTTTTCTAGGTGATAAGTCTTACTTTGAGGGAGAAGTTTATCCATGACGAAGCAATGTTGTAGACTGTTCCTAAGTATCACTAATAAGCTTTGTTGTTGTTTGTTTCTAAGTGAATTAGTAGAAGAAAAGGTTTTCCTTAAAGACCAGACAGAAAATATAGAGGGTAAGTTGAACCATATCAATTATAGATCAGAATTTGAAGCCAAAACAAGAAATTGCACAATAACTACACAGCAACTTTCTGTCCCCCCAGAAAGCACTTCTGTGCTCTCAGTGGGAACAGCCAATTGTCAGAAGGAGCTGCTGGTGATCAACTTCGACCTGGAGCCGGAGCGGCCCGACGCGGAGCTGCGAGCCACTCTGCAGTGGATCGCTGCCTCGGAGCTCGGAATTCCAACCATCTATTTCAAGAAATCTCAGGAGAACAGAATTGGAAAGGTAGTATCTACAGGATTGCACACACTATTATATCACTTAAAGCAGGAATTGTGATTGTATTGAAGTTACTGAGTTTTAAAAACAGATGCAAAAAACAACATAAGATCTGTGTTACAAGGAGATGGCAATATGTTAATTTGAGAGGGAGAGGACAGGATTAAATATCTCAGAATTTAAGGCACATGAGAGATTTAGCATAGCTGAAAAAAGGTTATCGCCACTTATAGTTTTCTCAAAAATCATTTTTGTGTTTTAATGAATCTAAGTTCCCTTTTTCAGATCAACTAGAAATGTCAAAGACAATTAACAGAAAAGGTCTTATATATAAGTGCATTTGAAGGGCTACGAGACAGTTTACATGGAGTTTAAACATGTAACTTAAAAAAAATAACTTCAGTGTAGATACCACAAGTACAAAAACCTACTACAGAGGGCCCATTAGCGACAATAAGAACAGACTGTGACATGAGACATGAGCTGTGCTTAAGATTTCGTCAGGCTTCGCACTGGCTCCTTAGTCCGCACGGAGGCCGTGTCTGCCCGGGGCCTCCCGCCCCCCTGAGCTCCCTGGGCAAACGCCCGGGCTGGGAGCCGCGTCCCGGCGGCACGAGGAGCTGCTGCTCCGCCACTGCCCGGGAGGCCGTTCGGCACAGCAGGGACCAGCCCGTGTTTCTTGTAAGCCACATCCGCAATCTGACATCTACTTGGAAAGTGAGAATTGTTGACTGAAATATTTTGCACCACGCCTTGGAAATTATGATCAGCACCTACATAGGAACAAGAAGAGCAGCGCGTGGTTCCAGTGCCCCGGGTCCCAGGCAGTCACTTGCCCTCTGACAGTCGCCGTTCTGAAAGTAGCATCGATCTCCAGAGGGAGAGACAGAGAAGCCAAGCAGAGAAACCCAAGGCAGAGCACCAAGAGCATCACTGAAGTCCAAATGGCCCCAAAAAAACTTTCATTCCAGCATGATTAGTTAGTGCTCAGCTGTAGACACCATCAAATGCCACCTGCAATGTTTCCAGGATGACCAAAGCGGCCCCTTTTGCACAGTCAGCAAGACTGACACAAACCTTAGGGTTTTCAGAACGTGCCATGGTATTCAAATAGATTAATGAAAAAAGTATTACAAATCAGTATTTTGGTCTTTTAAAATAATGTCTATGGGAAGATCATTTTGAGCAGCAGAGATATTGTTTGATTTTTCTTGAGTACATGCATTTGGGAATCATAAACATAATTTAAAATGCATTCAGCAGCAACAGTCCAAATTGCATCTAATTAAAGAAACAGCTGTCAGCTTTACCCATGTGCTTTGGCAAACAGTTAATTCAATTGCAAAAATACACTAGAGAATAATGAAGCACATCCTGCCTACAACAGTGCTCTTGGAAATCGTGTGCCTATTAAATATCATTAAAATACATATTAAAAGTTTAGACTTCAGTATGTAAATAGCAAACAGCTACTCTAACTAGACACACACAGTATTTTCTTGCATGGTTTAAGATTGGAAATGTGGAAGGAGGAAGCTAATTAGATATTGATTGTGAAATTCAAGAAAATGAAAAGCTTTGATTTTCATTGCCAAGCTTCAGAAAAAGATTGTACCAGATGCATGACACTGCAAAGCCCACTATTAAGTTCGAAGTGGACAAAATTCAGGATTTTTGTCAGCTGCTTAGGAACATGTATTTAACTCCTTGTTCTATGGAGATAAAATGGTTCTATGGAGGGCAAAACCCGCCTGGATGCCACAGGGCAAATGGAGGGTTCTGTGGAGGGCAAAACCCGCCTGGATGCCACCCTGTGCCATGTGCTCCAGGTGTCCCTGCTGGAGCAGGGGGATTGGACTAGATAATCTCTAGAGGTCTCTTCCAACCTCAGCCATTCTGTGATTCTGTAAAAATAATAATAAAAATAAAAATAGCAAATACAGATCCTGGCAAACATATTCACATGCAGGGAGTTTACCCAGAATACTGGTGAGTATTGTGAGAATATTTAAAAATCTGTGGGATGTGGAAATACAGGAACTTAATATAATGGAAGCAGAACTAAAAGTAACAGAGAAGGAATGCTTTACTTTAAAATAAATAGTCGCTCTATTATCTTGAGAGTGAGCTGCAGATAAAGGGTTAGAAATTTCCACGTTATCAGGCTCACTTTTATTTGTCACCATTTCATTGTAATAAATACTAAATAATTGATGAGAGCAGCTGATTTAGACAATGTCATGAGATGAGTCTTGAGAGAGCCTGTGGAAATCCCTGTGTTCCTCTTTTGTGATGCGCATCCATTGCAGGATGATGCGGTGCACTTAAAAAGGACAGTCTTAGAGCAGTTTGCTCTAACCTAAACTGAACATTGACCAAAACCTAAGTATGTTGTTCTGTGTTCTCAGTTCTTAGATGTTGTGCAATTAGTTCAACGGAAGTCCTGGAAAGTGGGGGATATCTTCCATGCCGTGGTGCAGTACTGCAAACTCAGCGAGGAAGGCGGCGAGGTGACACCGAGCCTGTTCGACTGGCTTCTCGAACTGGGTTAAGGTCACTTGCTCTGCAGTTTTGTTTTAATACTGTTTAAATAAGCAGTGGTTTGTGTAATGCTCTGATTTCCAAATATCACTGAGTAGAATGAGCAAAGATATACAAACTCTACAGAAACAGCACGCATCTGTTCCACAACTATACACTGAGCAGAGTGAAATTGAGGTGTGTCGTATCTTTGTATCATGAGGGACCCTTGACATACTGTGCTATAGGATGTACTGTACTGGGAGGGGATGAATTTTATCCTTTTGAATTAATGAACTATACAGTAAAGGCTTAAATTAATATCTAATATGTTCCATTTTCATTGATTGGATTAAATCAACCAGGTGAAACTTAATAATACGTTAAAGCGCACTTTAAAAAAACATCTTTGTACAGTCTGTCAGAATACGTACGTGTTCCAGGATGCTGAGGAAGGCTTAGGTCCCTAGATCAATAATACAGAAATACTACTTTTTTTTTTTTTTTTTTTTTCGATCCCCATAGCCTAATAAGGGGTAAAAAGCTTTGAAGTGTTAACGTGTTTGCAGTTAGACAATACAATGTGATATAAAATGTGAAAAATGTGGGATTTTTAAATGTGATTCTCTGCCATAGCTCTTCCCCATTCCTCTCTATTTCTCAAGAAAGTAAAATCTGGACTCTCAATATGACTCTTCAGAAATACAAATTCCTTGTCCTTTGGAGGCAGTGCACTTTAGGATAACTGGGAGACCCCAGCACAGCTCTGGGATTCAGATCCCCGCAACCCTGGGCAAGTCCATTCACCTCTGTGCCTCAGTGTCCCTGTCTGGTAAGAGGGAGCAATGATGGTAAATTTGTTATATAAAGTGCTTTTATGTAAAGCACTATGTGTTGGTTAAAAGCACTGGAAAAATAAATAATATTTTAATTTCAGTTTAATAAATTGTTAATAAGAGAAGGATAATATCCAAAAAGAGAATTGTGTTCACATAAAATCTTAGCAATGCTAGTTTTTATAATTTACAAGAAAACAAAATCATTGTTAACATCTTTCAGCACACATAACTGCTCATTTTGGATATAAATGTTTGGGTTATATATGATAGTTCACATTACTGTAACATTTGTATAACTGTTTGATAAGATGTAACTATGGTACCTTCTTGTTGAGATGATGTTTCATGCACTTAAGGATACTTTCTTTTGACTCTGCCAAAGAGATTGGTTTTGAATTTAATGATAAATATAAGTTATCACATCAAAGCTCTTCTGTGATTTGTTTCTTTGAAAATATATTTATCTCTGCACACCAATGTAATAGAAAATCTGCCTGCCTTTCCCAGTAAAATATTTAAGAGATGTTTTATTTTCCATATAACAGTATATGCTTCTGTAATATTTCTTGAAAAAAAATATATCCTTTTGCACTAAGTATTTTTGGAGATTTTGAAGTAGTTTTAAATAATTTATGAAAAAGAGCCATATTCTCAATTTTATCATTAAATCCATTCCTAAACTTGCATGGTTTCCTCACACTCATTTGTTAAGAAATGCAAATCATCAGTGAATCAAAGATCTAACGCAGGAGATGAAGTAACATGGCTAATTCTGCATCTGCTCTGCAGTATGAACAAGGCAGTGAAAGTCACTTCACTGGCAGGAGAACTCTCTGTGCCCGCTAAATTGCCCCCTGCTGTCACTGGCCCTGCTCCTCAGGGCTAACGAACACCCGTAACTCCCACTACCACCAGTGGGAGCTCTGAGCACTCGGCATTTCCGAGGTGGAAACATAATAAAAAACACCAAGTATCATGGACTGAAAGTGCTTTGTTTGAGTTAGTGAATTGGAAAGTGTATTTATTTTCAAGCCGAATCTAGTTAGCTGTCAGTATACGAATTTTTGCTGTGATAGAATAAATGTTTACTTATCCTACAAAGCACAAATATCATGACTGAGTTGTAACAGTGTGATGCAGTTCCTCTGTACAATAGTTCTTAATGTTGCAATTTATTCGGAAATAAATTTATGTTATAATGTGCGTCCTCTTCGTCTTTCTAAAAAGGCTCGTGAACGTGACCCATTTTATTTGACCAATTTAACAGCATACACATCCTGTCCCTGTAGCCTGTCGGAGCTCCTGCTTCCGAAAGAGACGCGTGACGGGGGCCTCCCCGCTGCCTCGGCCCCGCGACTCCTGCAGTGGCAGGAGGCTCGGCCCAACCTCCCGAGTACCGCAGGGAGGCGAAGATGAATGACGGATCCGCGGCCTCTCCGCGTTAGGCAGAGCCCCTAGCACTGCTTACCCAGCACTTCACTCCCTGCCAAGGGCTGGGGGTGGCCACGAACGTCACACAGGTATTTACTGCCCATGACTGTCCTGTTAAATTCTGCAGGTAGCTTTTCTGGACGGGTTGATTTCACTGTTTCCAGGCAGGGGAGCAGCAGCCCGAATCCCAGCTCCCAAGGCCAGCAGAGCCATCAACATGAAGAGCCCACCTGAGCTACTTCATAAATAACATCTCCTTCTCAGAAGGGAAGCCCATCTGCACGAGCGTGTTCAAGAAGTTTAATGCAAGCCTGACTCATTCCTTTCCTATGGTAACTATGAGCAGACTCATAGTACCTGGCACTAGCTTTAATTTTTCAATGCCACTCTGAAGCCATTGCCACCGCTAGGAGTTGGCCCTCAGGAAATAGCTTGGAGAAGGAAAGCATTCAGCAGGGTGGACAGTTAAACTAAGGAACGGCCCTAGCAAACTAATTTAAATGATTTGTAGGAGAACCAGGTTTGTCTGGACAGTGCTGTGCCCTCCCCCCAACTTCTGCGGAAAATGAGACGCTAAAATGCAGCAAACTGGAAATTACAACCATGTGGGATATATTTCATATCTCTTCACTATGCACCCCAGGTTCTCACTAACTGCCACTTTTTAATGAATGGGTGTGAGTATTACTATTCTCACTTACTCAGGAAAGAATTTAATTTTCAAGAGATACCAAAAGCTTATGTCACACCACACACTTTCATGGAAAGCTTTGCCCTTTGCTTGTAAAACATAAGTTCCATCCTAGGAAAACTATGTGGCACAATAAGCCGAGGGCTTCTTTCCCAGAAAAAAGACTGGCATACCCATAGAGGCAACTGGTGGAAGGATTCACCGGACTAAGAGACCCAGTGAAGCCACTCAGACTTGCACAGCGATAGTCCCTACCGAGGCGCGCTTCAGGAGCCTCCTGAGGCCACGAGGCCTTTCCGTGAACACCCAGCGAGCGGATCAAGTCACCAGCACCTCAGGGCCATGTCGAGAGCCTCATCCTACTCCAGCTGCCCAGCGCCTGCTCCGCTCACTGCAGTGCAAACAGCCCATGACACAGAGCTTTGGGAAGACTAAAATAGCACCAGACAGCAGTTTTAGTACACACGGACAATTTTGGTCTTGGGGGTCGAAGGGGTATCAATTAATACCATGAGGGTAAACAACGCGCAGAGCATCTAGCAACAAAGCATTTGCACAGGGACACCTGGAGAATGGCTTCGTGGCTTCCGACCCGCCAAGTGAGGTGCTTGTTAGCAGTGCTGTGCAGTACCAAACACGCAGACATTTCTCATTTGAGCAGGAAACCTGAACATCTTAGATGAAAAGCCCATCTACACGTATTCCCTCAGGCAGCCCAGGGAAAGCCAGAAGAAGAACCCAGGTAGCCTGACGCTCAGGCCAGTGCTTAGTCTGAGACCTCAACTCACTTGCCATTTGCCATGAAACAGGGCAAGAGGAGCTGTAAGCCAAAAAAATGTTTGATTCACTTCACCACCAGCATAGCGTAAGAGAAAAACCACAAGGAAAAAGACAACAGAAAAGATCCCAACCAGAAAGATGAGGCAAAAATCTACCTCCTGTTTGCAGTCCAGAGAATTTTTTACTTCATAATGGAAGGTCAAATTTTAGTTTTGAAGTATTTTACAGTATTTATGCATATTTCCTTATATTTGTTTTCCTCCATTTTTGCTAAACAGAAATCATGCCTCATCTCTACATTTAGGTGCAAATTTACCCAGGGGCACTGGGCAGTTCTAGAGTGACACAGAGCTACATTGCTCCTCCTGCTGCACTGAAATCAGGATTACCAAGGTGCTCTGTGGAAGTCAGTAGTTGTTACACAGGAGAGGAGGAAACACAACACGCATTATAACACTAATAGCCACACTGCCAAGGTCTCCTACAAGACAGCTCTACTTCAAACAACCAGGACGTTTCCCAAGTGGCAAGAAGCAATTTTGTTCCTGCTTGTGTACACAACACAAGCCAGCAGAGTCTAAATGCCCCAGCACTGGTAACTTCATATTAAGTTTAACACTGAAAAATACATAACAACTCAGAAACCTTCAAACTTCTGCCACTCGCTTCCTTCTCCCTCTCAGTCTCCATGTCACCCCCTGCCCAGTTCCCTCAGCCCTGCGCTCCTTACCTCTCCGTCCATCCCTCCGCCAGCAACAGGACCGAGCGCTCGGGCTCTGCTTCTTTGCTTTTCCCTGCAGAGAGCAGCCACAGCTCCAGGTGCTCGTTTGGTGGGCAGGGATCTGCCCAGCTGAGGCCTGTTGACAATTACTGGGGAGAGAGAAGCCTGGGGGGAGGGAGGTCATCGTATGGTAGTGAATTACTTATCCAGGTCCCCTGCCATTCCTCAGTTCATGTTATGATTCTCAGTTCACTTATTTCCAAGTCTTTGTCTTGAGCTGTTTCTTCATCAGCTTAGGGCCATGATTCAAAGTTGGTGTCACCGCTTGTATTTTTTTTACCTCAGGTAGAAATAGAAGAATGTGGAATAGAAAGAAATGAAATTAATGAGTGATGTGGACAAGTGTGAAAGAGGAGGGGGTGGGAGTTAAAGTGCTGCATATGGTAGTTAGTAGCAGTGCAGTTCACAAAGGATTGCTCACGTTGTTCCCCCAAAACACCAAGTGGGACATGGTATTACAAGTAACATAATATTTTAACACAATCCTTTATTATGCAACAAAAAATAATA